TGAACCCACGGGCCCTTATACGCCGGGTTATCAATCTGTTTGGGTTTCCACTCGCCTTTGAAGGCGGGGTTATTGATCTGCGGGGGTTCCCACTCGCCGTCCATCTCGTCGTCCCAGTCCTCAGGCTTAGTGGCGTCGGGGTCTGCGATATACTCCGGCTGTTCCCAGTCGTCGGGCTTTGTGTCGCTCTCGTCGTCGATCTTCGCTCTGTCGTCCCAATCCTCGGGTTTCTTAGCCTCGGGATCCTTGATCTTCTTAGGCTCGAGGAATGCCCAGTCCTTCTCGAGCTCTCCCTTCTCGACAACCTCGCCGTCGATCAACACTTTGTATGTGTTGTCGGGCTTTACCACCAGTCGGTAGATGTGAGTGAAGACGTCGTCTTTGCAACGGATGTCTTTCGTGGTCAACAAGTTCTTGCCCTTATAGTTAAAGATCACGTGAACCTTCTTAGTGCCGGGGCCGCAGATGTCGGGCCCAAACATTATCAGATACGGAGACTCGCCGTGAAGTGAGGTCTGATCGAGACTGCAGTCGAAGACTTTGAGATAACCGCCGCCGCAGTCGATGTTCTGCTCGTGTTTCACAGTGAACTGAATCACCAGATCCTTGCCATCGTTGGTGTAGGCGTTGTCCTCGAATTTGGCGGAAATCGCGTAAAATCGGGCGTCCGTTGAGGTCTGCAGGCCTTTGTCTTTCTCCTCATTGCCGAAGAACTTGCCGGCCGTCCACTTGAAGTCCGCCAACTCTTTGCCCGAGTGCTGCGACTGCACCCACCGTTTGCTCCAATCGGCGTCCAAGAAGTCCTCCCGGAAGTAGATCTTCGCCGTCGACACCGACACCAATGCCAACGCTAACAACGCTTTGCAAATCATTGGTCTATTGAATGCAATTTGATTGCAATTAGTTGGACACAAATGCAGACAATTAGATGAAGACTAAGTGGTAGTGAAGTGATAGTGAAGTATAAGTGACTCTGACTTCAAGTAAACCCAACACTTAAATGCTATGCAAAGCCCACTGAGAATCCAATCGTGGAATCACGCCATTGGCTGACAGCCAGTGAGGGGTGGAGTGAATGTGCGGACCAATGGTGTTGTGCCACTTGGAAGGCATTCCCAGCACTTCTACTGAACACACGATGCAATCGAGGGATTGTTTGCCGGCTTTTGATGCAAACATTCACTTCACTGTCTGTACGACCGATGCATCACTTGCTCTCCATTTCACTCTACTTTCCATTCGTTCACTACTTTCCACTTGTTTTCAATTCATTCACTTTTACACCATTTAAATGACAATTAAACCATTTGTGGTCATTTGCACCACATGTGCACATCACATATGCATTGTCTATATAGTTAACTACTACACAATCCCACGTTGCACTAACCAAGATTATTTTAATCAGCAAAATATGAATAAATGATTACTTGACACAATTAGTGTATAATGCAATTCAATGACAACGACTATACTATGAGCACAATTGGACACATAGTATGTGACACATACTCTTTTGCAGTATAATAGAGGGTATTAAGTGATACAGTGATTGTCTCATGAGATAATTAATTTATATTTTGTCAATGTCTACTTAAATACTTAAATATCTACCATTCCTACAGCAAATCAATGACATCCCGGTGTAAAGTAATGAGTTGGAACACATCAACTTTACCTGGATAATCCACGTCATGTAAAGTAATATTATTAATAATCGGTAATTTAATAAAATTTATATTACAAGTGAATTATTTAAGTGTAATCTATACTGGGACTGTGTAAATACGTATAATGTCTTATTTAATGTCCGTCTCTCTCAGAGAGAGAGAGAGAGAGAGAGAGAGAGAGAGCAAACGAGCTTGGTAGATCTAGAATCTAGATGTATTACATTGCACTAGTTTGTGTGATTAACTATAACTTGTGGACAATAAATGATGATTGTGTGTTCATATGGAAAGGTCACTCGTACTCCGAGTCGGGAACCACCACTTTGGCAACATTTCATACTTTTTGAAAATAAAAGTTATTATAAAAATACTCAAAATATAAAACTTAAAGATAATTCTATGTATTTGCTGAAAGTTTAAATTGAATTGTAATAAAATGTTAATATTGTGAGTTAAACTGAAACCTTATAAAAATGAAAACTTATGTTAAATTGAATGAAGAGTTTGTGATTTGAATGCTGTCTTCAATTGTAAGCATAGATAGCGTTATTGAGACTCAATGTGTAGTTTTGCTGACTTTATTGAGAAATCCTTGACTCTCTGTTGGTGTAAACATAACATAATCTCAAACTCATTTCAATCCATATAAACAGCACATAAGACACAGTGTGTGGAAGTGATGCAAAAATATCCCAACAGTTCCCGACTGGCCACAAGTCTCCACAAGTTTGCCGTCAATACATTGGCCGGAATCACACTCTTGGGGGTCGGAGTGCTGTCCATTCAGATCTACCAATTCATGACAAATGTGAGACCAGAGTTGGAGCAGCAGAAGATTGAACAACAATCCATTCAATCCAACCAATCATAGCCACTGTCAACACATCCCATATCACACTATGTCCTATTTGCCATTCTTAATGAAGAACTCTTTGCGATTATTTGTTCCCAAAACTAATCATAAAATTTGTGTCCAATTCCTGAGTCAAGACAACGCCAAGAAGTGGAGAGTCGTCGGTTTGAATCACATCGCCATCGCTACCAATGATGTCGGCAAAGGATCCGTTTTATTCAGGGATGTGTTTCACATGAAGACCAGTGCCACGAATGCACAGCCAGACCATGGGGTGAACACTGTGTTCGTGGACGCGAACAACACTAAAGTGGTACCAATGATGTCGGCAAAGGATCCGTTTTATTCAGGGATGTGTTTCACATGAAGACCAGTGCCACGAATGCACAGCCAGACCATGGGGTGAACACTGTGTTCGTGGACGCGAACAACACTAAAGTGGAACTCTTGGACCCAATCGGTGGCAATAAGAGTCCCATTTGGTCCTACCTTCAGAAGAACACCAATGGAGGCATTCATCACATATGTCTCGATGTGGACGACATCTATGCGGCCATCGATGACCTCAAGTCCCGCGGAATTCGTCTTCTATCGGAATCACCGAAAACCGGAGCGCATGGAAAGGATGTGATCTTTCTTCACCCCAAAGACTGCAACGGAGTTCTCATTGAATTGCAACAGAAATAGACTTTTATTACCGTATATTAAATGTTGGATTAAATGTTGGATTAAATGTTGGATTAGTTGTCAAATGATTATAGTTTGGGAGAAATAATGATCAAAACATTAAAACCAATTCTTATTATAACCGGTATTTTGTAAATTCCAGAAACAGACCGCAGATGTTCTCATCGATTGAATTAATGATAATTTGAGTTCAAAATTAAGTCAATGTTGTGTGAAATTAGGATTTATTTTAGTAATAATTGAATAACAATTAAAAATATGAAACAAAATCAAAACTATATAGCAATTGATTCAATCAAAAAGGAAGTGATGAATAGGTGTCACAATGAGATGAAATGATTTCATAGATTTTAGCGTTTATTCGTTGTTTGAATGGTGTCTCAAAGAAAGAGATCACAAATGCCTTCATTTGCGTCTAAATTGAAACAATAGTCGCGACCATTGGGTGGAGGACTTAGTCTAAGGAGTGGTGCGAATACGTCTGGTGTGACCGACTCGTCGATATCCATCACTTGTTTTTGTGCCAAAGGAACGCGAGTTTTAGTAGAATCGCAAATATTGTCACATTTGTCCGGCTCTTCAGTCACATCCAGTTCCACAGATTTAGTCAACGGTTTTGTCATACGATTGGATCGCTCTTTGGTCTGAATTGCCGACCCTTTTGTACCTTTAGAGCCGTCAGCGACGGGAACGGCTTTCTGTGTCTGAGAACGAGTTGTGGTGACAAAGAGGTGCTGTTGAGCGGCTTTACGCGGAGATAATTGTCTCAAAGGAGGTGTGGGCGATGGGTCTGGTGTTGGCGACTCATCACCACTGGTAGCGCTTGATTTCACCGGTTCTTTGCTTGACTTGACAGCAGGTCTTTTAGCCTGCTTTCTAGCCAACGGTTCCATTGGTTTGACAGCAGCTCTGGTGGAGGCTCTGGTGCCGTGTGAGTGAGCCGAAGAGCCCTCCGAGTCATCAACACTTTGTTTGGTCGACTGTTTTATTTCAGTAAAACACTTCTTCGGACTCTTTTCAGGACTAATGGAATCGATGGAAATGCTGTCAATGCTTGACATCACTTCATTGGTTTCGTTATTCAACACTTGAATCACTTCCGTTTCGCTCGTGTCCTCACTCTTGTTCACCAAAACCACATTAATTGGTCCGCTTCTGGACTTCAAATGGATTTGATATCTCCTTCTCTTCGCCGGTTTGGCGTCTTCGTCAGGAGTGATCAGTTCGTCCCCATTGTCGGGCTCCGGGAGGGGGACCTCCAGTTGAGTGCCAACCGGCGCCTGGATTATCAAAAGCATTTGTCCGGCAAACGTGTTATTGATGTCTTCGTGTCTGAGATATGCCATCCGTTTGTTGAACGAGTCGTCAGTAATGTTATGAATGGATTGTTTAGCCCAAGAGAAGTGTTGGTCTAATTCCATCTCTTTGTTGTCCAACTCAACCAACTCCTCCTTCAGAGCCAACAACTTGTCGGTGATCTCCCGTGTGTTACATCCCGGGCCGGCGCCCAACCACTGGATCGAGTTCTTCGACTTCTTCTCGATGAGTCCGATGCCCTCCAAGACATTCGTGATGTCGTAAATGCGGCGCTTCTGACGCACGGCTAACGTGTCGGCCGCCTAACCATGCGTTGGGACAGACATATAGACATGGATGAAGACATGGATGACAGTCATGAGTGGCACACATAATGAGACAATGAGTGACAAACCATTTTGAGGTCCAGAACGCCGTCCTTCGCGTCTTGTAATAGACTCACGAAACGAGTGGTCAGAAGACCTAAACTCTTCTCGTGACGACTGGCAGATGAGCCGCAATCAGACAATTCAGACATTTCCAGCATTTTGGTGGCGATTGTCTGTGGATGTGCTCAGAGGTGCACTCAAACACAGCGACAAGAGGTGGTCTCCACTCGATGTCCGTTACGTTACACTCAATGCAAACAAAAGCGACGCTAAAACCAGACAAACGATTGTCGATTACATCGCATGCGATACCACTCACAAAAGGGACCAAATGTACGACACATACAGTTCAGCAGCCGTGTGTTTGTGTGAACTTTGAATTGAGTGTCGATTGCATTGGATTTACTGTAATGTGTTTGTAATCAACTCATTGTTTCATGTGATAAGTGCTGACAAACACCACAAACACTGGACTCATAGTGGACTCAACCACACAATAGTGTGTATTAACCGTATTTGTGGTCATTATAGACAGTCTTACTGTCGGTGTATTGAGTAATATCTACGTCTATGACATAGTGTTTGTGTGATATGATAGTGACATCAGGTGTCGTATGCATTGGTGTGTTGCAGACATAACAGTAAAGTGTGTCTTATGTCTCATGTGATCACTATTTGAATCACATTATCATTGCATGTAATCTCAAACCAATTGAATCCAATCGACGAACTCATCGTTTGCTTCATTCACAGCAAACATACCTTTCATAGTGTTTCCAATCACTCCATGGATTACATCTGAAATGACTTAAAACCTCAACTCAAAGGTAAGACCATTGCACGTAATGTCATGTCTTGTAAGTGTCTTGAGATGACCTCTTAATGTAGTTTTTATTGATAATCACCACAACCATCTTATGGTAACATATGCCACACTTGGAGTCAAAGATTGTCTGAATGTGCCATTCATTAATAGACTATTTGATTGACTATCAGTTAAATTCATTTATCAAATGATGTGATGATTCACTGATGAAATTAGACATTTCAAAGCCTAACACATCCACAATGAGACCATTCATTGATTATATGACACTCATATCCATATACCTATCAAATTAACTATTATTTTAATGATTAATCATTTGATCCAATGACCAATTTATGTTTGTATGTAGGATATTACAGTACTATTATATTAGCTTGATTGCGGTTAACTGTATTGGTGACCTGGCTCACCGAGAAAGTGTATGATTTGGTATAACTAGTACTGTAGTCATAATTTTGATTTACTCTTAATTATTGGTTGAATTGGCATTTGATTGGAAATGAGGACAGGTTTAGTTGATAATCTCATTTACATTGAATTGTATACATGTATGTGTTGTCATATTAGATTACTGTTAATTGTTAAAATCCTTTTAAACTATGCAATGTAAGGTATGATTACTGGTGATAAACCAGTTCTAGATGACCATTGCTTATATGATAAATGTGTGGCCATTCACCAGTCATGTATTGCATATTGGGATGTAATAAAACGATTGATAACTCATTTCATGGTTAAGTTGTATTAAATAGAGTACAGTATAGATAGGAAATCTCATTATTAATAGAAATGTAATCTATTTACTGTACAGTACATGATATGAAATATGGGACAAACACACGGTTAGTACCGCATAATACATAACATTACTCTATTATTTATAAAGTATTATACAGTAGTGATTGCATTCATTTCATTTCTGTATACCTTATCATAACAATTGAATAGTACCTATTGAATGGTATTTAAATATATTCAATACTAAATGAAATTAATTTTCAATTTATATTCAAGGTTTCAATGATACAATAGCTATAATAATACTATATGTTCGTGTTTGATTTGACCTAGCTACCATTTATGATTGCTATGCATTTTAAATTTTCATTTTTTCAGTTTAATGTCATTTGATGTATTTTTAACTCATTTAGAATTTAGCATTAAATTAAATATCGATTTAAAGTTCAGTCATTTATTGCAATCTTACAAGTGAATGTCATAATTGCATACAATTGACCCGTAGTTATGTAATATCATATATTACAGTTTATTAAGTAAGATATCCATTTTTATGATTATATCTTACAAATGAGACTTTCATAACTAAAAGGAAGACATAAATTGCTATCAAATCTAAATTATGATCATTTAAACCGCATATTTGATCATACAATACAATACAGTACAGTACTGCATTGCAAAATAATATCAAATGAATTTGCAATTTCGTCTAAACATGATTTTTAGTAAAATATCTCATTTTATTGAATAATATCAAACTATTGAAATTGAAAACCTTTTATAGTGTTGAAAATATGTTTTATAATGATTCCCTATTTGTATTGCTTTGTCATTTTATTTATTTCAATGTAAAGTGAAATGTGATTAAAATAATGGAAATGTTGGACAAATACTGCAGTTTGCACTGTAAGAATTTATTTTTAGTTTAGTTTAGTTTAGTTAATGTTTTTTGCAATAATTTATTATAAGTTATTATAGACCGGTGTGACATCAGAGATATTATTGTTGGGTCTTTTAATGCCAGTATTTACACAGCTTTAGTGTTTCAATCAATCAATTGATTGTATTTTACTAAACTTTTTATTACTATCTAAATATCTAATATACACATACTTTCTATTCATTAAATTAACTCAATTCACGGCCCACTTATTCAATGTTTTCTTTATTTTCTATTCATTTATCACAAACTCGTTAATAAAATATATGTTTTTATTAAAATTGATGCTTAGCTTTGATGTTATTATTTTTATGAATTAATGATGTTTTGTATATTTATGTCGTAACTGTCTGTTGATTATAGTTATAATAAAATAGTAATCATTGAAATGCATAATTGCTGTCTAAATAATTACTTATTAAAAGCTAACAGTGAAACGCTAAGCTATAATTATTTTAATAAGTAAATTGCATTTAGGTTGTTTTTGTTACACTGCTAAGAATACAAAGTTATTAAATTATGAGTTACAGCATGAGTTAAACCAATTGTTTTGATTTGATTGACTTTTGAAACCAAACACGCGATTCATTTGTGAGTTTATCTCGTAATGTATTGCTTATCATTTTCTCATATATTTTTATCGGGTTTCAAATGTGGTTTTAAATGATAGCCAACTCATAGTGAAATGCAATGGTTTCATGCAATATTTGGCACAATTGGCACTTTAAGATCATACAGTAACTGTTATTTATGAACCGCGAATTGAATTTGAATATAAAATTGTGGATTGAATTGATGTTCAGGTCTGTTGGAAATGATGTTCCGATTGGCCAAAAAGAAATGGATGCGATCTCTGTACTGGACTATTGTATTGGTGTTTCTCGTGTCACTCTTAACCGCATTTATCTATTACTTCGTTCTCATCGATGAACTCGAAATCAAACCAAAAACTATTGTAAACAGCGATAACTTAGAGAAACAAATCAATTACCGACTTTCGGGGCTCGAGTTGGGCCTCAAGCAGAACAGAGATCTCCTGAAAAGCATTCGCTTTAAATTAGATCGAGTTTTCAAAGATATTAACGGAAATCTCAATAAAGATAATGAGGACTCGGATCCATCGGACTATATTCGGGATCAATCTATTTGTGCGAAGTCTAGTCCGCAAAAAGGTTTGTATCCTTCATAACAACGATTATTATTACAAATTTTAATTTAATTGTTTGTAACGAAGAATTCAAACCTAATATATCGATGCCTGACGTCTACGAAGAGCTCAAGTTTGATAACCCGGACGGAGGTGTTTGGAAACAGGGATGGGATCTCATTGTTAACGAAACCCTGTTTTCAAAGGGCCATAAGTTAAAAGTGTTTGTCGTACCGCACAGGTAGGCACTATCTAATCTTAGATGTTAACCAAACAATGCATTAATTGGTATGAATGTTGTGTCAGTCACAATGACCCTGGTTGGATCAAGACCTTTGACAGATACTTCAGGGAACAGACGAAACACATATTAGATAACATTGTCACCAAATTAAGCGAAGACCCGAAACTGAGGTTCATTTGGGCGGAAACTAGTTATCTGAGCGCCTGGTGGGAGACCGTCAAAGACCCCAAAATGAAGACTCAGATGAAAGCGTTGGTAGACTCGGGACGGCTCGAGATCGTGACCGGCGGTTGGGTTATGAACGATGAGGCGAACGTCCATTACTTTGCGATGATTACGCAGATGGTTGAGGGACACGAATGGCTTATGGATCACTTGGGGGTTAAACCTAAATATGGGTGGGCTATAGACCCTTTTGGTCTCTCGCCTACAATGGCCTACATTTTGAAAGGAATGGGATTTGAAGGAATGGTTATCCAGAGAGTCCATTACGCCATTAAGAAGTATTTGGCGTCCAAACAAGAATTGGAGTTCCGTTGGCGTCAGTATTGGGAGCATAAAGCCGACAGCGATATTGTGTGTCATATCGAGCCCTTCTATTCATACGATGTGCCGCACACTTGTGGTCCCGACCCTAAGGTGTGCTGTCAGTTTGACTTCAAACGTTTGCCCCCTTCGAAGGTGAAGTGCCCCTGGAAGGCATCCCCTCATAAAATAACCGATTCTAATGTCCATCAAAGGTATACCTCTTAATTCCTATACAGAGCAGTGAACATGTTTGTANGAATGGCTTATGGATCACTTGGGGGTTAAACCTAAATATGGGTGGGCTATAGACCCTTTTGGTCTCTCGCCTACAATGGCCTACATTTTGAAAGGAATGGGATTTGAAGGAATGGTTATCCAGAGAGTCCATTACGCCATTAAGAAGTATTTGGCGTCCAAACAAGAATTGGAGTTCCGTTGGCGTCAGTATTGGGAGCATAAAGCCGACAGCGATATTGTGTGTCATATCGAGCCCTTCTATTCATACGATGTGCCGCACACTTGTGGTCCCGACCCTAAGGTGTGCTGTCAGTTTGACTTCAAACGTTTGCCCCCTTCGAAGGTGAAGTGCCCCTGGAAGGCATCCCCTCATAAAATAACCGATTCTAATGTCCATCAAAGGTATACCTCTTAATTCCTATACAGAGCAGTGAACATGTTTGTATTGATTCAAAAATTGGTTTTAGATCTCTTCTACTGTTGGATCAGTACCGCAAGAAATCAATGCTTTATAAGACTAAATCTCTTTTAATACCATTAGGTTTGTGGTTAATTTTTAAAATTTGTATTTTTATTAAAAGTTAGTTAAAATCATTTTTATTTATATACATTAGGCGATGATTTTAGGTTTGATAAACTAGAGGAATGGGACGCACAGACAGAAAATTATCAAAAGCTTTTTGATTACATTAACGCCAGACCCGAATGGAATGTTGAGGTATGGCTTCAGTGGTATTAATTTTAGCATAATTTAGAAATTTTAATAAATTGTTTGTTTGTTTTTAGATTAAATTCTCGACATTAGGCGAATACTTTGAGTCATTCAAAGGGATTCATTCATTTCCAACCCTTTCGGGAGACTTTTTTACTTATAGTGATCGGGACGACCACTACTGGAGCGGTTACTACACATCAAAGCCTTTCTTCAAGCGCTTCGAACGCATATTAGAGTCACACGTAAGACATGAAAACATGAAATGCCATGAATGCCATGAATGCTATTAATCTTGTATTTCCTCACATATCTTAAGGTGAGAAGTACTGAAATTATATTCTCAATGGCGTCTATACTGAACCCCCACTCACTGGACCGACTCAACGCTCTGATGCCACTGTTTGTCTACGCCCGACAAAATCTGGCACTCTTTCAACATCACGACGGCATCACTGGAACCGCTAAAGACATTGTCGTCAATGATTACGCCAATCGGTTAGTACAGTATCCCATGTATTTTCATATGACATTGTGTTATATCTATGTTTTCGATGATTAAAATTATGTTTTACTAATCTTTGACAGAATGTATCGATCGCTTGAAAACTTAGAGAAAATCAGTTCGCAGTCTATAATGAATTTATTACACTATGAGAACATTGAATCCAATCAATTGAAATTAGTGGACAAACTTCCCAACTCTTTCTCAACGTCTACTAAAAGTTTATTCATAATCGATGACAACAACAATCAGAATTGGTATGAAATATCTATCAATTTGCTGGAGTATTGATGATTATAAACATTATTTGTAGGCATTTTGTCATTTATAACTCATTGGGATTCGCTTCATATGAGTTGGTTTGCATTCATTTGCAGCCAATGGTCAACAATTGGTGTATTAAAGACAATGACGGCGTTGAAGTGGAAGACATTCAGATGAATAGGGTTTGGTCTATGGATAAGCTGTTGACCGATAGAGTGGAGGCTTGTTTTGTAGTACACATGAAAGCCTTAAGTTTAGCGGAATATAGTGTAGGAATATGTGATGAGAAGAGAGGTGTGCACAAGAAAAGTGCCGTCACTTTGTATAATTTCGGCCAATCATTCAATAATTTATCCGAAGATTTGGTGTCCTTTGATGAGACGCCGACTGAAATACAATTGGATAACGAGAACATTGGCCTCACATTCAGTGGTGCGGACGGTATGCTTCGCAAACTCTCCATTCGAGACGTGACTACAAACTTAAGGATGAAATTTATGACTTACGGCACCAGAAGTGGCAAAAAAGTGCAGAAGAGCGGCGCCTATATATTTTTGCCCGACAATGAAAACGCTCAGGACTTGGTTTACAGCAACTGTAAGATTAGAATAACTAAAGGAAATATTGTCACCAGATTTGAGACCATTATTGAGAAACCGATTCCTATTCGGCACCAAATCTCAATAATTAAAGGCAAACGATATATTGAAATGGAAAACGAGTTCTTTTTATCTCAAAGTTCTTTTGGGAATAAAGAGCTTATGATTAGGTTTTACAGTGACATTCAAAACGACGATATCTTCTACACAGATCTCAATGGCTTTCAAATGATTAAACGGAAGCGATATAACAAAATACCACTTCAGGGAAACATATACCCGATGCCCACAACCGTCTACATTGAAGACACCAAACAGAGACTCAGTGTGTTGTCGGGACAGCCATTGGGCGCCACTAGTCCTCGATCGGGTTGGGTCGACATCTTTCTCGATCGACGCCTCCTTCAAGACGATCAAAGGGGTCTCAATCAGGGAGTCGTCGACAACAGGAAAACGAAAGAAATCTTCAAAATTCTCTTGGAAAGCACATCATCGGAGCCAACGGCGCCCACACAACCACTCAAACCATCACTTGAAGCACAGATAGAGTTGCAGAAGATTTTGTCGCCACCGATACTAATGTACAGTACGATGAAGAGTACCATCAGTGAGATCTACTTTCTGCACAATCCTTTGCCCTGTAATATACATCTGTTGAATATGAGGCGTTCCTCCAAAGCCAATACTTATTCCCTTTATCTGCACCGTTGGGGCGTCGGGTGTGACGCTAAATGTGCCGCAAATTCCACTGTTGTTTTGAGTCAACTCTTTTCGCCGTTTATTACCAAATCATTAGAGCCACAGATCACTCGAATGAGTTTATCTTCACTCCATGAGAAGGAATCGGATCTTTCAATCGACAGTCAACTGAATGTCGAGGAAATGCATATAAATGTCTATCGTCTGAGAACTCGAGGCGTTTGAATCGGAAACTAGTCTATAAAAAGCCATTAAATCGTTAAATCGAAAACAAATTACAATTCCTGTGATATAAGACTTAGTTTTTTATCAGTATTTTATTAAATCGTTTATTGATTCGTTTAATATTTTTAAATTTTAACACTCAACACATTTTTGCCATTACACACAAGTCGACAAATGTAAAAAATTAAAAAAATAAATTCAATTTATTTATTATTATTACTATAAATGTCTTACAGTTTTAATTACAATTCATATGAAAACTATTTCTCGCCCTTCTTTGCTCTCCTTTCGTTTGACAAATCATTCAATTTATTGTTTAGTTTTTTCTCTAAATAATTGCGTTTATGTGAATCCAATGGCTTTTTGACGGTCACTCCCGAACCGGCGCTCAGTTTGCCTTCTTTTCTGGCGTTTGATCGCAAATATTCTCTAATTCTTTCGCCGCAGCCATGGATTTCAGGCATCGAATGACTCATACAGAAGTTATGGCCACAAAACTGACACTTTTGTCCCAAAACACTGATACCTGTCTTACATCTCGAATAATGACAAGTGTTGTCAGCCTTTTTCACTTCGGCTATGAGTGCGTCGATGTCTTCGTTGTCGATCGCATTTATTTTTGTTGTCAAGTCTTTTGCCATCTTTTTAGTTTTGGTCTCACTTTTAGTCGTCTTTTGTTTAACGGACTCTACATTTGTTTGTGGCTTTGATTTGGCTATACTTTTACGTTCACCACAATTATCCTCATTCTTAATGATTTGCGATTCCTGTTCGCAAACAGCGACTGGTATTTGGGTGTCATTTGAGTTGACATTTTTTGTTTTCTTTTTGATCACAATATGTCTGTCCTGTCCTTCACCAACACTTTCGTGGATCAAATCAAGTGATTCACTGATTTTGTGAACTAAAAGTCTTTCGAAAGAAGTCAATTGAGGAGAAAATTCAAACACATCTGAATCATTGTCTGCAATGAAATGCAAAATCATTTTTTCAAACTCCGACTCTTTCCCCAAATCCACTAATTCTTGTTCTGTTTTTTGTTCCCTTTTCTTAAATATTTGTTTAGTCTTTGGATCAGCTTTTTCGGACTTCCTTTGATTCTTATTCGTCACTTCTTTGGTCTTAAATCGCAAATTCAAAGGCCTTTCTGTTTGAGTCATACTTTGCATCTCTTGTTTGAATTCATGAGCGCTAATAATGTCTCCATTTTGGTGGAAGTGATCGATAAGTGACTCAATGGTCGAGTCATTAGAAACAGTGTCCGAATCACAGATCAAAGCCACGTGTCGTTTGGCTCGAGTGACGGCCACATTAATCCTCCGGCGCTCTGACAAGAATCCCACGTCTTTGCGATCATTTGAGCGAACAAACGATAAAACAATGATTTCTTTTTCTCTGCCCTGAAAGCCATCGACAGATTTGATCTCAATGTTCGAGTGATCTTTGAGTCGGTCTCTAATGAGCTGCACCTGAAGGTTATAGGGACTGATGATCCCTATGGAGGACTCACTGAACCCTTTGTTCAGAAGTGTTCGCACGTATATGGAAACGATGTCCGCTTCCGATTCATTGCCTTTCGACTCTTCGTCCTCTAAGTCCAGTTCATTCATATCACAGCCGGCGGTGTCGATGAGCACCAGAGGAGCGATATTTGACTCATTTATGATATCATTGAGCGAATGGTTTTTCACCGATTCGTGAGCTATTAATTTATTTGAATAAAATTCTTGCGAAGACCAGTTCATAATCAGTTCATTCATCCTGTACTGGATGTCAAGCATTTGGACGATTTGTTTGTCTTCAAACTCTTTACTCAATCGTTCCATTAGTGAGACCTCCAGACCATCTTTTGCCGCCTTTTCCGATAAGATAGTGGGCGGCAGTTGGCAGTGATCTCCGGCCAAAACACATTTGTGCGCGCAGTTCAACACAACCCACGCCGAGGCCTCTATCGCTTGCGAGCACTCGTCGATCACAACCACATCGAAAGGATAATAGCCATCAGAATCGAGTAGTAATCTATTGATTCGTAAATCCATTCATTCATAAATCCATTCATTCATATCGAGCACTAATTATGAATAAACTATTTGTCACTCACTTTAAGTAGCCCTCAGGAGAACCGGTGGTGAGTGTCGTTAAGACAACTTTCGATTCGTTTAGTATTTGTTTTAAACACCTTTTCTCTCTTACTTTCAACTCTTTGCGCAAACTTTTTATTTCACTGAAAGGAGTGTTTCGTTTTGTCACCATTTGTTGGATCTCTGCTCTCATATCCGACACAATTGTGTAATCATCTGATCGGCCGATTGCGGCGTCCAATGAATACGAGTGCAGGTGTGATATGGATCGGCCCGGATGTCCGAGTCTCACAATCTGGTCTCCCATTCCCTGTTGCGCTAACTTCTCCACCAGATTATCAACGCTAACATTGGAGGGACCGGTGGCCAGCACTCGGAGACCATAGTTAGTCACGCATTGCATTATAAACTCAATCAAAACAGTGGTCTTTCCAGTGCCGGGCGGGCCGTGGATTAGCGCCACTTCCCTCTGGTTGAGCGCTAACTCTATGGCCTTCTTCTGCGAGTGATTCAAATTGTGGTTAAAATAAGTGATTTTCGTCTCGCCTTCAGTGGCCTTCTGTGTGATCTGTGTTTCGCCGAAAAGCACTTCAATGAGACGATGAGATAAACTGTATTTCTTGAGACCATTTAAGGCGTGTTTGAGTCTCCTATGCGTCACATCATTGGACAGCTTTATTAAGTTAAACCTCTGGTTGTCTTCATAATTATCTATAACACCAATGTCTTCATCGAAGGCCACGTCTATGCCTTTGGACTCCACTCTTAGGATCACCCCCGACACCAACACCAGAGACTCGTGACCAGCGGTTACGCCAACGATATCACCGCTGGATATGGCGTTCGGCGCCAACTCTTGCGTCGACCACTTGGGAGCAAATGTGATGATAGTTCGCCCGTAAAGACCGGTTCTCATCGACTGTTTACATAACTTCATGAGACAAATGCCACGATTCTGGAGCTCTGGAAGCGATAGCTTCTGTTGGTATGACTTGTTTTGGTGTATTTCCTCCTCATGCTCCAAATCGATGAGCTTTAAGTGTTTCAACACAAATCCATCCACACTTTGGTTCACCATTTCTTCGGTGAATTTAATTGAATGCTAAATCAAAACCAAAATCCTTTCAAATAGTTATCGTTTTGTCAAACAATCCAACGTTTGCTGAATGCACTGATGGGGTCATCAGGTGTGGGCTGTATGTGGGGGGCCAGGGGTGCACTCATACGTGCAATGAGTTGTTAAATGTTGTTCATTGCATGCATTGAAAATGGGATCAATTAATAATACTTCCAATGGATTGACATTTAAATAAATATTTTATTTAATGGATAATAAAGTGGTCATAAAGTGATGGTTTGGTGACCCCTCTTATGATGACAAAAACAAATGATGTAATTATTACTGTAAATATAATAGTGTTTCAAATGACAACTTTGAATACTTATGCTTATATTTGATTACTAAATTGATATTTAACTTTTAAAAATTAAATAACAAATTTTTAAAGTTAAACATATAGTATAATATTAGTGTCATATTCATTAAACATAGAATAACTCATGAAATTAAATATTGTACAGGTACAGTATATGATATGTAAATTTATTAAACACAATCAAATAAACCAATCTCTTATTTCTTACATTTATTTTTTCAAATTCTAAACTAATTCAGAATAAGTTGCTAGAACATATTCCCAATACGTTACTACAGTATATCCATAGTATGGATTCCATACCTCTAGTTTAGTTACAGTTAAATTGATGAGACAACTAATTATTAATTTTTTTAAAATTGATTATAATTTTTAAATATGAAATAACAGTTCAATTAAATTTATTTTTCATTTCAATGTCACATATTTTGACAGAAAAAAAAATATTTTATTGATTTAATTACAGGAATAGCTAATCGATAGAAAGATGTGAACTATATTTATCGTAAAGTACAGTATTGTAGTTATTGTGTTCATTATAGTAGTTGTGTCAAGTTATATTCAATGAATTTTTAAATATACATTTTATAATGCTTCTATTATATACTGTACATTTTACGATTGTATCATAGTACTGTATTTTTGAATGATTAAATCACCATGCTCATCAAAATTCATCACTCCTGTCATTACATTAACAATAATTACATGTTTATCTCTTTCGAGTCGTTAGAAAAAATGAATAAGTTTTAATAAAACTAACTTTCCCTTATACAATAATAACATTGAAAGTGTCGGTGTAATCCCTATACTGTATTTAATATTGTATTTGTATAATACATGTATTTGAGACCTTATACAATACTTGAATAAATGTTTCAAATGATAATATTATGAGAAAATTGTGTAAAACTAACTTTACTTTTACTTTCATTTCTGTCCTAACGTTACTTACCTACCCTTCCCACAGTTACCCAAACACCTAAGTAAGTGATGATATTATGACTGACAGACAGACAGATTGTTTCTCACTCAGTTAAATCTGCGACGACCTTCACTTGGGATCAAATCTGATATAAAATGTCTAAAATTACTTTTATAGTCATTACTAGTGTTTGCAATCACTACATGACTCATTAAATTCTGTCTAACAAAGAGTGAGTCAATTATCTGCGACGACCTTCACTTGGGATCAAATCTGATATAAAATGTCTAAAATTACTTTTATAGTCATTACTAGTGTTTGCAATCACTACATGACTCATTAAATGACATAATTTCTAGAAATTCACTTCATTTGACACTAAATATGATACAAAATACTTGTTAATCAAATGAACACTAAATCTAATTCCTTAGGAGTTTTGTGCCTAAAGTGACGGAAAACACACATAAGATGTGCAGTGAATAGAAAAGTTGAGATGAATTGTCAAGTTTTCCTATGAGTTAGCGTTAGTAAAGCGAGTCTACGGCTAAACAGCAATACTCTATGAAATGCACAGAAAGTCTGCACACATCTGGCATTCATTCAATTCACTCAACCATTCATTCAATACTAATGTCTAAGCATTTTCAATAAGTTTTTTCATTTGCACAACTTTTAATACAAGTTTGATATAACTTTTTAATTCACAATTCAATTCACAATCCGAGTCTTAAATAGTTTTGTTAAATAAAGTCATTAATGAGCAAAACGATTGAAAAATATAAGACGAGAAAAGTGTACGATATTTATAATACACTCAAAAAGCTTTTGTGTTGAAATTTCTACATTATTAGTACAAGTGATACAACATTCGTGTTGACTACTCTCATAGCGATTGCGCGGCAAACGTCTACAACATAAAAGTGTATCGAAAATAATAGCTGTTTTGAATTGTTATTAGAAATGTTGTTATTATTGAAAACATTAAATCAAATGAATTAGTATTGATTGCAATGAATGGATACACCATTGAGTGGACCATAAGTCACATCCATAGACCACCCGTTTGACAGCACATCCAGTGATCGCCAGTGAGTGACCGCTTGTGAGGATGTCTTTGCGAGCGATGCCGCACCAGTCGACCGGTGCGGTCGTGCCTCCCATTCCCCTCACCGTCTGTATGGTCTGTGAGAGGGAATGCCTTTTAGGCCAATACGTGGTGCACAGCCGGCCCTCAGTGACGGCCCCTCACACCCCCTTCTTCCCCGTCTTGGAGGCACTTTCGGCCAACTCTTCGCAAATCAATTGCTGTCGCCTTTGTTACCACTCTTTGATTAGTCAGTGGACGGACTTCGAGGCCAAACAGATTGCTATCAAAAACCGCTTCTATTGTCTCAACACTAATAAGCCGCCGAAGAATGACTTGAATACCAATCATAACCACAAAAAGCATTACAACGCAAACCATGAAAACAACACGAATGCCAGCCCTGAAGAAGTGCTGGACCTGAGCTGTACGTCCACCTCAACCCCCACCTCAACCCCCAACTCGAGTTCGTCTCACTTGAGATCCAACACAAGAACTGAAAGCAACGGAAATGTCAAATACATGTCAAACCGAAACACAAGTGTCTGTTATGTCTGCGGAGAAGAGTGTCATTCAGTGGTCAATGTGTTGGTTCGCCCGACAGCTAATTGTCCTTATTTTCCATCACTTTTATCACATCCAAAACCTAACGGTGCGAATCCAATTGACTCGAGTGGACGGATAGACTCATGTGATTCATGTCATCGATTTTTGCTGCAACAATGGGATCACTTTCAGAGGCTTAATGTGCCGATCGGTGACAGACATTACACTCTAAGACCCGTTGTGTCCAATAGTGAGTCCCGAAGTCGAGTGAATCGATATTCGTGTGCTTTATGTAACACTGAGTTCTCGCAATCCCTGCAAAATGTGGTCATTTCTATGCTTACTGTCAATGACTCTAATTCTGATCTTAAGAAACTGATCCTATCATCGGCTCAAGAGTTTATAATAGGATCGGGAATGCCTTTAGAGTTGGGACGAGTGTTGACATGTATTAGTTGTTTCAGAGATCTGATTAAAAATGGCGATCCTTTGGCACCACACCCGCAGACACCCAATCATATGTTAGACACGAAGAAAAAGTCTTTGACCGACTCTTTAAGTAATTCCATTCCTGACCAACACTTGTGTCCACTTTGTAATAAAGTGCGGAACCAGACGTTTGCCGTTCAGACCATTCCTTCCACCGAAAGGAAACCGTTTTTTCCTTTTCTTAAAGATTTAGTCAAACCTCAAGAAATGGATTCATTGGCAAGAATCAGAATCTGTAACATTTGTTTGGCATCACTTGAGTCCCAATGGGATGCCTTTGAATCAGCACTCATTCCTCACTCGCAAAGAGATTATATGTTGGCGTTCAGGCGGTCACCCCTGGATCGACCCGTATCTCCGCCACCGCTTAAAATACAAGTATCTTCTCCGCCACCACTCCAGCAGTCATTCATTTGTGAACCACTATTGACAACCGTCACGACATCCACTCACAACACATACTCTATGACCAACTCTTCCAAACATTATATCCTTAAAAATGAATCCAAAATTTCGGGACCAATGGACGACATGTTGTCAGCACTCGGAGGACCACTGCTTAAGTCAACGAATTGTTTTGTTTGTAGTGAATATTCATCGGCCGGTCATACCTTTCAGTTGTACGCATCGCCAAGAAATCCACCGATTATTAGCCATGAGTTAGGAATCTACCCATTCTTTCCATTTCTCAAAAAACTCATTGCAATCAACACTTCAAATAATACTGACGACAGAGATAGGGATTTAGCTCTTGTCTGTACTTTCTGTTATCATTCACTTATTGGTCAATGGATTGCATACAACGCCTCACAATTTATCGAAGATAAGGATCCGATGCGAAGAACTTATAATTGTAGAGATTATATATGTTTTATATGCGGTGTGACCACTTTTAGACAGAGAACCCGTTCCATAGCTCTGAAAGATTTCCCATTTTTGTTGGAACACTCGAGACCTTCAGGTGTGTCTCCAAGTATTGCCATAAATAACTCAATATTAGCTCATAATATGTCGGACTGTGTCTAAACAGTGGATAATTTATTTCTTTTTATGTCAACGTTTAGGTGCCTTAACGCTGACTGACGGCGAGAATGTAGTCACGTGTTTGACATGTTTTGAATCACTGACACTTCAATGGAAAGATTATGAGCGCATGAAAGTGCCGATTGAGATGAGGAAATACAACTGGATTACTGTCGCGCCGCCAAACAGGGATATCAGTGAAATGCCGGTGCCTTTAGTTCATAACGTAATGTTAAAGTTTGAGTTATAATTTCAATGAATTTATTTTTTGGTTTGTTTTTTATTTTAATAACAGTTAAGCGAAACTATTTCGCCCACTTCTACTGTAACAGCCCCTCCACCTCCTGGGGCTGTAGTGCCTCTCATTGCGATGTCCAGCAATTCAGAAGATTATCAAAACTTGTTGTCCAGCTCTGCTCTGTCCACAGCTAAGAGCTCTACATTTGCGGCCGCACTCAGAAAGTTAGCCAAACAATCATTTGATACAACGATTGGAACAGATTCTGGACATCAGTCGGCATTATTAGGCCTAACTGTCGCCCACTCATCCAATGTATCCAAGAATTCCAATACACCTTCATTTCTAAGTCCATATCAAAACCCAGCCATACGTCCGTCACCGCCAATAGTGACGATCGCACCGATTCCGGCCCATCAGAGCGATAGGAGTGAAGGGTTGAGGAAAAGAGATGAGAATCACTCATATTTTGAGCACAGAATGCATACCGATCCCAAAGAGTCACCCCTTCTAGCGATAGGAGTGAAGGGTTGAGGAAAAGAGATGAGAATCACTCATATTTTGAGCACAGAATGCATACCGATCCCAAAGAATCGCCCCATCTTTATACACACTCTCAACGAACCTCACCTATAGTTCGGTAAGTACTTTGGTGTCGGCGCTGACATCCATTTTGTCAACGAATGACAATAAATCTAACCAATAGTTGCATCACTTGTAGGCCATCCCCGTCACACATTCACAACGAAAGCCTTAGTTCTGGTGGCAATCATTCGACACAAAACCATGTTATGAACCGATCATCGAGTTATCAGCCCTTCAGAAGTGGATTTGAAGAGAGTTTGCGAACCAACTCTTCCGCTGCTCTCACATCAGCACCACTGCCATCACATCTATTGCCTTACGAGGCCCTCACTTTCCCTTATCACCAGTTCCTGCCTCAAACTAATCCTAACCCTATCCCTCATCACGCGCCACATCCCAGTGCTTCTTATCGGTAAATCTTATGGATATTAGCCATAAATTAAATAAATCTAAATTCTTGTAAATTGACAGTTTGGGTGATAATTACTATTTGGATCGCTTTGGTCTACTTCGTGGCCAATTGCCCGGTCCGTCAGCACCGATGCCATTGACCGGAAGTGGCACTACATCTTCAGTGCCTTTCAATTTAGTCCGTCCTTCAGAAGTGGATTTGAAGAGAGTTTGCGAACCAACTCTTCCGCTGCTCTCACATCAGCACCACTGCCATCACATCTATTGCCTTACGAGGCCCTCACTTTCCCTTATCACCAGTTCCTGCCTCACTCTAATCCTAACCCTATCCCCCATCACGCGCCACATCCCAGTGCTTCTTATCGGTAAATCTTATGGATATTAGCCATAAATTAAATAAATCTAAATTCTTGTAAATTTACAGTTTGGGTGATAATTACTATTTGGATCGCTTTGGTCTACTTCGTGGCCAATTGCCCGGTCCGTCAGCACCGATGCCATTGACCGGAAGTGGCACTACATCTTCAGTGCCTTTCAATTTAGTCCG